CTGATTGGTGGTTTAATGGTGGTTGATGGCATCTATCAAACTCAGCTTTTTCTCTGATAAACATATGTCAGAAATAATGTGTTTGGGTTTTTTTCTTGACTTTGATAATTTTGAATGAGACTAGTTTTATCAGAAAATATTTAGGATGCTGGTCAGTATGGCTCACCTGATATGTGTAGGAAGACAAAGAACACCTGGTTAGTGTTTGGCCAGCTTGTGAATGTTGCCTCCAGCAGAGCATGTTAGTGGTAATCACATTTTCTCAAGCTGTAAGTGATGCTCTACTACTACTGGCATTCATAGGATGTGCTAGGAGACATCCAAGATTTTCAGGGGAGAACTCAGAACACTGTGGATACATCCCAGACATGAAAGAGGACAACAGTGAAATTCAAGTGACCAAGAAGCCAGTGAGGAGAGGAATAGGAGAACAGAAGGCTGAATCTTAGACTGAGAGTAACAAGACACAAAAATGGCATGAGCTGGGACTGATTACAGGGAGGACCTGAAGGTTTGGGAGTGAGCGGAGAGCAGTCATTTTGTAATGAGCTGGAGAGACAGACAGTTGCCCTCAGTCAAAACCAAAGGAAACCAGGGCGTGGAATGGGGTGGTCTAACAAAAAAAAAAAAAAAAAAAAAAAAAAAAAAAAAAGAAAAGAAAAGAAAAAGAAAAAAAAAAAGAAAAAGAAAAAGAAAAAGAAAAAGACAGATTGGAGGGGAAATGAGTATTAGGAATGAAAAATGCTAAATATTAAAAAAAAAAGAGGTGAAAATAATTAAAAAGAAAAAAGGTACTAGGAGAAAAGGAAGTAAGATAGCAGGGGAACAAAAGACAAAGAATAATGACTAATAGTCCCAAACAAAAGGTATCTACTGAATATGGCAGAAAGTGTCATTCAGTCTGTTCTGATAGAATAAGCAGCATTCTGCAGTCCTTCCTGATACCCATTATTGTACCAGTGACAAGACATGACAAGAGCTGCTTTGTCTTCCCTGCCTGGTGCTGCCCTGCTGGGGCAGAGCTGGCCTTTGAGGAATGATGTGTATGAGGTCAGTGTTAGCAAATCTGCTTTTTATCCTTGGTCACACTTTCATCAACAAGGCTTTATTTATACTGAGGGTTTTTTTCTATTTTACTAGTCCCTAGCCCTGACAAGAATCATCAGTTCTAGTCCTGATGAAAGCACTACTGTAAATGCCCTTCTGGTATTTTTACCTCAGACTCATCAACATCTGACGTGAAAAGAGTAATAAATTTGTTTTGGAGAAGTCTCCCATAATGCTCTTACCACTGTAGTTACTGACTGACAGAGTTAAGACCATGGGGAGGCTGATATCCCAAAGCATTCCTATTGCCCTCCACAACCCATGGATTAAACCAGGCAGCATTAAAATTAAAAACATGAGAAGCAACATGAGAAAAGAATTCCCCTGTTTTCAGCTTTGATGTCACCAAAAAGGTTTTTCTCTTTCAGTTCTAATAATAACTTCTGCTACAATAAAAAATTTCATGCCAGTATTTCGTGCAAGTAAATCCCTTAGTCTGGAGCAAAGGTGAAGCAGGAAATTCTGTCTTTCTCTTAAAAAAAGACATATTAAGAATTGGGAAGAATGATAAAAAAGGATTCTCTCAGAATATTCTCTGAAGTACTCCTCATTTCAGCTGGTTTATAAAGAAGAAGGGACTGGAGTTTAGGAAAAGAAATGAGTTCAATTGATTTAAATCCAGAGTAGATAGCTGAAATGCTGATCAGTCTGTGACTAATTTATAAACATTTCTATGCATCCCTGTGAACCAGGGAAAGACAAAACTTCTTTATAGGCTCTTTCCTGGACAATCCTATAGGAACTATAGGAGATGCAGTCTCCTCTTACACCCTTTTTTAAAGAAGGATTTGTGTAGAGCAGTGATTGCCTACATTCTGTTTTGGAAACATGATGGTTAGATTAATAACACTGCACAATCCAAAGAGGAAGAAAACTTTCAAAAGGTTCAGAGCTCAGAATAAGTGAATTTTGCATGTATGTACATGTATAATATATTCTTTCCCTTACAGCTTCTTGGCAGTAGTTCATGGCACTGGTGAAAAATGAAGCTTTAGATAGTTCCACTCTCTACATCAGTGTGGCTGTATATGGACATTAAGTCATTCATGGCAAACAAAGACAGTGTCTATAATGCCATGTAAATTAATTTTAAAAAGAAAGAATCTGATTCTTTCCAAAGGGAAGAAGTGTGATGAACTGCATTACAATATATATGCATACATATAGTCAGCATCTGGTGCAAAGAGGCCAGGATTTTTAAAAATACAGAGTGAACCTTTTCAGGATCCCTGCAGTCTGAATAGAAATCCACACATCCTTATTATTTGCATATGGCCCCATTATGCTTTGGAATTCACAGAAGTCTATTCCACGCTGAGAAACAGATATTTTTTTTTTCTTTTCTAATGGAAATTACTGTTCTTCAGAGTATCTAGAAGTTACTAGGCACACACTATACTAAGCTATGTTCCTCTCTCTTCTCTATGATATTATACATTTTCCCCTCTTTGTTCTTTTAATCCTATAGCTCACATCCTCTTTGAGTTCCTAAAGAAATATGATCAGTTTGAGAGTAATCATTTGCTGTAAAGTGATCTATCTCCATAAGAGGTAAAAGATCTCTATTGCTAACTGAGTTTTTTAGACAGGTTTTATATCATGGTTTTGAAGGCTTTTTCTTGTTCAGCCTTAATCTTCTGAAAAAATTACACATAAAAGTTCTAGCTTTACATAGAAATAAAAGGTAAACGTTGATTCACCTTTTAAACTACGTAATAAGCTCCTCTGCCACCAAAAAAAAAAAAAAAAAAAAGGCAGCTTGAACGATCTGGTTCCTTAATATAGTTTCAGTTAGCAGCAGCAGAGAAAATTTAAATGAAGTACGTAAGGAAATAAAGTATTTTCATCTCAAAGATGAAACAAAATGAGGAATAAATCCATCACTGACATACAGAAAAGCTGGTCCTGCTGACCACAGTTTGTCTGCAAGATGCTGTATTTGAGCTTCACATAAACAGTACATGAGGTTGTTTGAAGGAAAAGAGAGTAATTAGGTGTAGAGAGGGAAGTCGAGAAACTTCTCAAAAAGGAAAAAGTGCATGAAGAATAGTTCCTCACACTTTTAAGAAAATATCAGCTGATGAAACATCCGAAATACAGCATCTTGTGTACAACACCCACCTCCATTGAATCGCTCCATGATGAGTCATAAAGTACAGGTAGTACTATATGACATGATGCCATGAGGTCTCTGCAGTGATTCTCTGATAAAAGCCAAATGTTTCTTAAATTGTGTGGCTTCTAGTTTTTCAGGGATGTCACACTTAAGCACAAAGGAACTGTTACTGGCTGGGTAATCCTCGGCTGAAAAGAATTCCTAAAAATATGTACATAGCACCATCTACTGACATTATGGGTCATTGCAGGTGGATGTTTTTAAGAACATCAAAGACCTATGGGTTACAATAGTGTAGCAGAGTTCCCCTAACTGGCACAGAATCGATTCCTCTTTCTACTTACAGCTCTGTAAACTCAGGCAGAATGCTGATCTTTGTTTCAGGAGTTTAGCAGCTGAAGAAAACATGGTATCTGAATAGAAAAAAATGAGGAAAAAAGGGAGGAAAAACGAGACCAAAAATGAGTAGCTAGCTGAATGAGTCAAAGTGTGTCCTGGAGCAAAAGATAGATGTTGTTAGTAAAGAGAATAATTTCTCAATATGTCATTTGAAAGCACCAAGACTATTCTTTCTTTTGGCCTCAGAGTTGTGCATCCTCCTTTGGGCCATCCATACGTTTATCAGAGTCAATGCAACTCACTGTTAAAACAGTTTTCCCCTTCTTCATTCTCTGTAATTTTTCTGCTGGTGAGAGAGGTTGACAGGAGTCAGGGCCTGCTGAAGACCAGAGCTGGTGTAGACAGCGAGGTGTGTGGCGGAACGTAAGAATGTGCTGGTACCAAAGGGCTGTCGATTGCCTCAGTTACAACATGTAATTTCATTCTTCCTCGGTTATATTTAGTTCATTGACTTGGTTTATTATTGCTGTGTAGACACAGAGGAGAATGTGCAAATAGCCAAGATGGAAACTCCTTAGGTGAGGTGATTCTGCAGCTGCCAAGCAGGTTTGTCAAACTGAGTCTTGACAGAAGAGAACTGAGAAGAGATAGTGTCCCCATGGCATATATGATCCGTGTCTCAGCTACTGAAGCAGAAACAGCATGCAGCAAACACTGCTTTGCCAGCAGGGAGGAGCATGGGGAGAAAAGCAGGGCAGGGCACGGAGCTGCGATAAGTTGATCAGGGCAGGACAAAAGATTAATATCATGGATAGTACTGCTGCTTAGCAGTTTTGGTATCTACTTTTGGTATCAACTTCTAGAGCCACAATACTGCTGATGTTTTGGAGTATCATAGAGTCACAGAATGGCCTGGGTTGGAAGGTACCTTAAATGTCATGTAATTTGAACCCCCCTACCATGGACAGGGACACTTCTCACTAGACCAGGACCATCATGAGCCGCTATGCCATCCAAAACATGACCAGACTGCTCCCAGAGCCGCACTGGAAAGCCATATAACCTTATTTTTTTGTAGATGCAACTGAGATGGTAATCCTGCTGGATTCATATCAGTCAGCTGACCTACTTAGCTTTCCTGGGAAGAAAGAATTGTCTTTTTATTCCTTCTTAAGCCTTTTCTCAACTCTTTGACCTGGGTTCTTTGGTCCTACTGAAATGCATCAACAATAAATAATACACATTGAAAAAGCAAACTCAATCTGTCACCAAATTTTATTTTTGTGAAATGGTAGTAGGATACTGAGCCCATATTATACATAGAACAGGATGTGAATGCATGCAAGTGAACCTCCAGAAATCAGTTTCTTCTGTGACTGTCTTTACCCCTTCAGCATGTCAAGGCCAGTGTTTAAACAGGTCACATACTCTTTCTCAGTACCTTGTAAAATATTTTTATTTTTCTCAAGCCCAGTAGTAAGTCAGTATTTTGGATGATGTTGCATGTGTCTGTATAAAGACAGAGTACATACAGGAAAATTGTTTTAAGAACAGCTTTTAAAATTATTTACTAAATGCATATCCAAGTACCTCTTTCCACAGCACTAAGAACAATTTCCAAGAGACAATTTCTGAATTCCAAAACACACTGCTTAGAAAGTAGTACAGAGCTCAGAAAACTTTATCTTCGCTTATCTTGAGGCTGCATCAGCACCATTTCTCAAGGTGTAATTTCCTGATTGACTTAATTCCATCTAAATCCACAGTGCTACTGTGGCAAGTGGTGGTCCTGTCCCACTAGCGCTTGTGTAACTAACTATGGGCTTGGCTGTGGAACCAACTAGGATGGAAACTACGAGTTTGTTGCAGGATTAATTTGCAGGTGGACCAGTGCTCTCCACTCTCTTGACTGCAGTCCCCTGGAACGGCTCATGTCCATCTGCCCGCATCCCTCGGCAACGCCGAGATGAGATTATGCTGACCATGAAGCCCCGCCCTGAGGTTGTTTGTTGGCCGCTCTAGCTCTGATGCACGCAGAAAAGCGGTCGCAGGCGTGGACTCCCTACCCTCCACACTTGCATTCGGTTTAGTCTGCAGATGCTGACCTTTTCCAGTATCATTAGACACAAGGGCATTTAAAGGCTCCATTCCGAAGTCTGAAATAGGCAGTTGTCAATCTTAGTCACGTAACTGCCCATAAATCAAAGCCATATTATAAACCACTCAATTTCTCGCGCTGTGTCATCGCACAGTGTCACACACGCGCTGGCACAAGCGTGTGTGGAGCGGCGAAGGGCCGGCGCAAAGCCCATCTCCCACACGAACGCCGTGAGCAGCGCGGGGCAGGCGGGGGCCCCTCAGCAGTGAAGGGAGCTCAGGTACAGCAGCAGCAGCGGCGCTCTGCCCGCCGTGCGCGATACCGGCGGCCCGGCCGCTCCTCCCGGCGCTCCAGGGAACAAAGCCGCTCCCGAGCGCTCCGGGCACGCCCTGCGCCCTGAACACCCGCGGGCCGGTGCTCGCCAGCCCCAGCACCGACACCAGCGCAGGAGGAAAGCGAGGACGCTGCCACACACGCGGCCGCTATCGCCGCGTCCGACGGCGGCCCGGATCCTCTCCGCCGCTCCGCCGCCGCCGCACCCCGTCCGGCCCGCTGTGCCCGCTGTGCCCGCTGTGCCCGCTGTGCCCGCTGTGCCCGCTGTGCCCGCTGTGCCCGCTGTGCCCGCTGTGCCCGCTGTGCCCGCTGTGCCCGCTGTGCCCGGTCCCGGTTCCCTCCCCTCCCCTCAGCGGCCGCTCCCTCGCGAGAGGCGCCGCTCGCGCCGCCGCCCGCCCCGCCCGCCCGCGCGCCGCAGCCCCGCCCGGCCGCGGCTCCGGCGGGCGCAGAGCGCCGCGAGCAGCCATGATGGTGGGTCCGGGGCGGCCGCGGGCCGGGCCGGGGCGGGCGGGCGGCGTGGCCGGTCACTAACCTGTGCGCTTTGTCTCTCCACACCCTCCCTACCGCCGGCCCTGCCGCTCCGCGCCCCCCGGCCCGCGCCCCCGCCTCCGCCTCGCCCCCAAGCAGGAAGGCTCGGACGACGGCCCAGATTTCCTCTCGGAGGAGGACCGAGGTGTAAGTGCCGCGGGGAGGCGTCGGGACCCCGGCTCCTGAGGCTGGGCGGCGGAGGGCAGGGTCGGCCCCTCCTCGGGGCCTGCGGGGCTGGCGGCCCGAGCCCGCCGCGTGGGTGTCGGGAGGGAGGCGGGATGCCGGGCGGCGGGGTCCGGGCTGCCTGTCCGTCCGCCGGGACCTGCGCCTGGCACGGCCGAAACCGGCGTGTGTGTGTGTGTGTGCAGCCTTGGCTGCGCGTTGTTCTGTCACAAGTTTGGGAAGGACAGTTCTTTCGTGCTGCCGTTGGAGCGGCTCGGGAGGGGCTGTGTGTGTGCCCGGGGATCGATGTTCTCTCCCTGCGGGCCTCTCCCGCCCATAGAGGCCGGTCCTGCCCGGGCTGACCAGCCCTGGGGAGCACCGCGTTCCATCTCCAGCCGTGAGCCAGGGCCTGAGTGATGCAGTCCTGCTCTCCCTTCTCCCTTTCAGGCCTTAGGGACTCTCCCATAGATAACAATGGGACATTTACATAGCAGGCACATGCTGCATAATAAACTCTGTATTGAAAAGAAGTTCTGTTGTTGGGACAGGATACCACAGTTATGCTTCTTACTGAGAAAACCTTTTTCTCTGCCCTTCTATTTCTTGCTTTCGTTTCTCTTCTGACTGCTGCATCCATCTTTCCTTAACTTGCCTGCCTCACTTAGGCAACAAATTAGCTAATACAGTATAATTCACTCAGACTGATTACCCTTCTTGCTTATTATCTTAAAAAAGACCAACTCTGAGCAAGATAGAAGAGCAGCTTCAGGGTTGCTTAGGTTGCCTTGGCTGTTGTGGTTATTGAAGTGACTACATACAGTATATCACTAAAAAATACAAAAATCTGAGAAACACTGTGTTGGTATAAACCTTTACCATGTGTGTATGCCGGACTTGGGTGTCAAATACAATTTTAAGTACTAAATTATTTTTGACTGTATGTGTGTGGTAGGAATTTCGTATTTTATGTTCCAGTTTATGACCAAAAATTAAAAAAGGCGTTCTAATATTATGTCAGGCCAATTCTGGCTACTTGCCAGAACTTTTACCTTTAATTATGCAGCAACTCTAGTAAGAACACTGGATAAAAAAGAAGGAAGGTGGAAATTGTTGTCCTTTGAGTGTCTTCAGAAGAAGGACCAAAGAACTTGTTAGTTGTGGAATTATGTAGGTTGTCCCTGGTACTTAGGAACACACTTTGATGTAAACAGTTAAATTGTCTTTATCTGAAGGTGCAGGTAGAACATAACAATGCAGATTTGACCTCGTGTGAAACTTGTTTGTTTGACTGGTTATTAGTTTTCCCTCTAAGGGTACAGGTTGTCAGACTTCACAAGGTAATTTGAAAACCTTAAGAAATCTCTTAGCAGTCTTGTTTGTACTGCTGTAAAACTTACATCATCTCAGTTGGCCAAGTGCAGCCTTTTTTTTTTTTCCCTCCCCCGTCTTCATCCAGCACTGAGGAATTAAACCAAAACAGTGTCCTTCTCATTTCCCTAACTTTTTCTTAGTTTAACCTTGGGGTGATGGGATAAAAAGAGGACTGGAGTTTATGCTGATGCCACATAGAACAGTAGTTCTCAAACAATTGTGTTATACCATATGGAGCCTTTTCTGGAGAACTGTAAAACAGAACACTGAGAATCATCTTTGAGGAAGTAGCTGTGGGTGGTCGGTAAAAGGAGCTTATTGTAAATGCTCTGCATAAAATGAACTTTTGGGAATTGCTTTTCTAAATTTCACTTAGGAAGATACTATTGAGTTCACTTGGAGTAACGCAGTTCCTGTTGGGATTTTTGTGCTCTCTCTGATGTAAACGATATGTGCTTTGAAAAGTGGTACAGTATTGCTCTACTAGTACCATCTTGTATATTTTGTATGTATATACACTTTAGCTGACTTGGCTAACACTCCTGTCTACTCATTCAGGGGAAATGAGCTATCCCTTAGAACAGGTCTGCTGGAAACTTAATGTTGTGAAGACACTTAGTAAACTTTTGTTATAAAGGTGTTGTTTGTCCCTTTGCTCTGTGTATTTATCTACCTGTAAAGAGCCTGCTGAAGAAAGGGTCCTTTCTCTAACCTTTTTTGAAAGATCTTAGAGCATGAAAGTTGGTGTTAATGGGTGACATTACCTAGGAATCTAGGGCTTGGTTGTTTCCCTTGCCTCTATCAGATTCTTTCCATTATCATTTGAAGTATAATTGATTCTTAAGCAAGAGCTTAGATGCTAAATCCTCTCCTTGTGTTCTCTTTTAGTACTGTATCATCGTTTTGGTTTCTGTTGTTTTCTAGACCTTTTGAATAAAACAAGGACTTAGGAAAGCATAGAAAACTGTAAAGTAGCTAAATCAAATTAGTTTTTGTTTTGCAAGTTGTTCAGCGTGGATGTAGAGTACGTATCTAAGCATAAAATTATTGTGTGATTTGTATGTATTAGCATCAGAGGGGGGCAAGGTAAAAAGGGACTGCATCTTACCTCTGTTTTTTCCATACTTCAAGGTACTTTCAGTTTTCATCCATATCAGAATTCTTTTAGTTTTTCATTTCTTACTTCCTTATGACTAGAAAACCATCAATTGGTGGTAGTTTTCTTTTGTAGTGATGAAGAGTTTGCTTAAGTTTGTTGTGCTATGATGTTGTCGGTGAATTCAATTTCCAGTAATGCAATGTGAACCTTGTGTCACATGAATACATTTAAAGTCCTTCAACTTTCTGATTGTCTTTGACACCTTTCATAAATGCTTCATTACCACTGCAGACAAAAACGTTCCCCGTTGGCAGTCAGGCTACACAGCGTAATTTAACATATGATTAAACTCTTCAAAACTGTTACAGACTTAACTCAGTATAAGTCAAACAAATAGTCCGTTACAGTTGTATGCTGTGAGTGAAGTTGTCATGTTTTGTTCTTAGTTTTCTCAGCACAGAGAAGAGTTTTGTATCTAAAGTTGTGAATAGTGCATATGACCAGGGTACCCTAGATATGCTCTAGTGACAGGCTCGGTCAGCTGTTGTACTGAATCTTAGAATTTTGTGTAGTACTACTTTGCAAAAAAAAAAAAAGGTGGAAAAGCATTTGGTAGAAATATTTGTGACTTGTGAAAGATTACAAAAATGCCATTTAGATAATCCAGACTATTTGCTGAGATTACCATGTCTGTTAATTTATTCTTGGGGGATTGGAAGAAAGCAAACAGTACCCCAGACAGTGTAACCACAAAAACCTTTTTTACACACTGAAAAATGTGGTGTCATGACATACAGGAGACATTGGTACATCATTATATTTTTCTTTCCTAAATTAGATACTAAGAGCATTGCAAACTCAGTAGGAGCTAGGAGATTCTGCCTCTGTGGAGTGATCTGCAAGGGACTGTTGCATGATAATATGCCTTTGTATGAGGCAGTGACCCCCTAAACCTTGGGAAAACAAAAGGCAATGCCTTAATCACGTGTGTGCATATGTTACTGGGCGGTCATTTTAATGATTTCCAGCTTTGCTGTAAGGAAAAGCTTGTGTAAGGAAAATCTATTACTACTTGTGTAATAGCTTTTGAACTCTTACATTTTGCTAGCCTAGCAGAATATGCTAGACTGCTCGATTTTGGTTTACTTTAATAAACTGTTCTAAGATACATTAGTCTGGTTGCTGCTACATAGACAACGGTTGTCCACACATTGAGGTTGGTTAGGGTGGGATCCGGCCATTGTGATTTAAGATAAAGATTAAGATAATCTTTTCCATCTTCTGATGGAAAGCAAGATGTGGCAGTTGATGCTTCTTCCTTAGTGCTATTCCAGTGGTTTACAGAGCCACCTTCAAAATCTGCTCATGTGTAAGCTTTGTACTGCATGTTCTTGATACTTAAAGCATTTCTGTACACAAGTACAGACTTCAAAATGCAATCCTGAAAAGACTTGCATGGAAAAAGTCTATATCTTTGTAAGGCAAAACATTTTTATACTGTAGAACAGGATATTTGTTGAAAAAATGCAGTATCAAAGAAGACACTGTCTCAGTAAAAAGTATGCCATATGAGCATGATGTTGAAATATTTTTGACAGTGATTTCAGAGAAGATTCAGAGTTAGCCTTAGTACTTGTAAAAACATCCTGAATGTCAGTTGGTCATGATGATAAAATTGTCATGAACAAATTCCTCTAGAACAACAAGGGTGCAAGAGCGAGGGGACTTGAATTTCCGCTTGGAGTCTAGATGAGGTTAGTTACACCACGTACTGTTGAAGCGAGTTACTGCCAAATATTGTGGTGCTCAGATAATATTCCAGTTTTTCTATAATTGATTGTTGTCTGATTTTTTCGATATGACTTTGAAATTACTTGTTAAGAGAGTTTGGGTTTCATGTCTTGCAGAAAAAATATATGTATTCCTTGCACTTTTGCCATTTTGAAGATATTGAAATCTTGGGTTTGAGTTTTTTGGGGGGGGTTTCAGAAAAATATCTCCAAGAAGACTTAGCTCTGTAAAGCTCAGGATATTATTTTTAAGCTTTTTCGATATATTATGAGAAACATTAAACAGAAAAATAGTGTAAGAGAATATGAGTAAATCAGGTCTTTAACAGCTCTTGCTTCTTTGAAAGGTAGGACTACTTTTCTCCTTAAAAGTACCTTTCCAACTGGTAGTATCTTTATAATTACCTTCACAAGTACATTTACTTAGAGCAGGTTGTCAATTCAGAGGAGTGAGGGGAATGAAGAGAAAAATGAAGAAAAAAACCTCCCAAACTTGCTGTTATCTGTAAATGTACTTCGACTATCTCACTTACTAGCAAGGTAACAATATACAGAAATGGAAATAGTGCGCTAACAAGGAGTACTGTAAAGGAGATTATTATTTGAGTTATTTGTGCTATAAGGAATGCTACTGGGATTTCTTATTTTGCTGAGAATAATCTTTTAGTGTTGGAGTTTTTTGTAATCTA